TCTCTCTCTCTCTCTCTCTCTCTCTCTCTCTTTCTTTCTTTCTTAAAATATTTTATGTGTGTGAGTGTTTTGCCTGTATGTATGTATGTATGTATGTATATATGTATGTATGTATGTATGTATGTATGTGTGTGTGTGCATGCGTGCATGCCTGCATGCATGTATGTGCATCACATGCATGCCTGGTGTCCACATTAACAGAGATGTTGTATACCATGAACTGGAGTTATAGACAGTGTAAGTCATCATGTGGGTGCTGGGACTCCAACCTGAATCTTCTGGAAAAGCAGCCAGTGCTCTTAACCACTGAGGCATTCTCCTGACCCACAATTATCTTTTTATTATTATATTTTAATTTTATCTTTCAGGAAGTATAAGTGTTTAATTTTGGTAAGGTCTGACTCATTAATTTGTTTTTTTAAGGGTGATGTTGTTGGAATTGCTTCCAAGAAACCTTTGCCTTGCTCATGTTTATAGTTCTTGTTCATGTTAAGTCATGACCAATTTTCTGTTTGTGTGTGTATATGTGTGTGTATTTATATGTGTGCAAGTGTTTATGCATGTGTGTGTAGGTGTGTGTGTGTGTATGTATGGGAAGGAAGGAGTGGAGATAGTAGCGGGAGATGAAGGTTTAAGTTCATTTTTCTTATAAATGCCCAAGTACAACTGGCTGAAAACAGTCTTTTTCCTCCATTGAACTGCAATGGCATCTTCATCACAAGTCAACTGACCAAACACATAAGGATTTTTTATTTAGAGTTCTTCCCTTCTAATATGAACGCTTGCCACTGTAATGTCCCTACAAATACTGATCTAGCTACATACCACAAATTCAGTATCTCATGTTTTCACTCAAGGCATTTTTGAACATTCCTTGTCATTTCTACAGTGACTTAAGGGTTATTGGAATTCTGATGTTTGATTTATAAATATTTGAACATTTCCCAAGTTGATTTATTTCAATTCCATTATGGATAGAAAATATAATTGTATGTTTTAAATTTGGTTAAACTTACTGAGACTTGTTTTATAGGGTTGCATATATAAACTATTACAAAAAATGTTCCACATACTCTTGAAAAAAATGTGCATTCTGTCACTTAGACTGGTCCACAGCGTTGTGCATTCTGTCACTTAGACTGGTCCACAGCGTTGTGCATTCTGTCACTTAGACTGGTCCACAGTGTTGTGCATTCTGTCACTTAGATTGGTCCACAGTGTTGTGCATTCTGTCACTTAGACTGGTCCACAGTGTTGTGCATTCTGTCACTTAGACTGGTCCACAGCACTGCTTATTATCGGTGCCCTGAGTTGATGTCTACTTGTTCTATCAATTGCTTTAAGGGAAGTGTTATGTTATTGCATTACAATTTTTTTAATCACAGGAAAATGTGTACAATGTAAATATCACATTACCAGTTGTATATAGCTCATAAAGTTTAATACAGTTCCCATCACTATTCATCACCATGATATTTACATCTTTCTAAATTGAAATTCTGTGCTCATTAAATAATAACTTCCCATTCTTTTCAACTGTGACCCCTACATTGTCTATGTCTCCTTTGTGTTGTTTTGTTCTTCATGAATTTATAAGCTTGCATGGGTTTATGTGTAAGGGCCAGAAGCTAACACTGGGTAACTTCCTTTATTGTTCTCTACCTAATTGTTTTGAAACCACTGAATCTGGAGTTTGCTGATTTGACCAGGCTAGCTGGCCATTGATCCCTAAGGATTCTCTAGTCTCCAGTTCACCAGTGTTGGGTTTACACTATGCACCACCATGCCTGCTTTATGCATAGGTGCTAGGATCTAACTCAGGTCCTCAAGCTTAGACAGCCAGCACTGTAATGACTGAACCATCTTCACAGCCCCAGAGACATCTTTGTTCACGTGTCTTCTCAATAAACTGACCTAGTTATAATTATAAAACTCGAGTTTTAGGTTTTCTAGTAATACTAATTTCTAGTAATACTAATACTATTTCTAGATATACCTATTTCTAGTAATAATAATACTCTTCACTTGTCTTTTGTTTTTGATCTGACACTGATACAATTCTGCCAACTCTTTCAAAGTTAGAATCTGCATAGCTCTAGTTCTTAACTGTCTTCTTGTCTCAGCTCACTTTCCTTCCTTTTCACACCAAGAAAGTAGCTCAAACTGGCTTAGAACTTCCTATATAGCACATGCTGGCTTCAGTCTTGTGATCCTCCTGCTTTGGCCTCCTAAGTCCTGGAATAGGCGACGTAGACCAACACAGCTGGCTTTTGATTTCATTTGATGATATGACTTTTGTTACAAACATTTGTGATGAAGACTTCCATGGATGAGTTTTCATTTCTCTCAGGGACATACTATTGGAGGAACTGCCAGGCTGTGTTCTGAATTAAGTGAAGAATTTGCTTTCATATCCAGTGTCTGATGTTAATTTCCTCTACACCTCACTTGCAGTTATTACTTCTTCTTTGGTTTTAAGTACCCCAGTAGGTGAAGCAGTACTCACTGTGGGTTCAATTTACATTTTTTGTAATGATGCTGAGTACCCTCAATGCTATCACGTATGAAGCTCTATAGACACCCAGCACTTTGCTCTTTGTTTCCCACACATACTGGTTATTCCATTCTACTTTTTACCACATTCTTTAATATTAAACACATGGTCATTTGAGTATCTGTTTTTAAAACTTCTCTCTCTTTTTTTTGGTTTTTTTTTTGTTTTTTGTTTTTTGTTTTTCGAGACAGGGTTTCTCTGTATATCACTGGCTGTCCTGGAACTCACTCTGTTGACCAGGCTGGCGTCAAACTCAGAAATCTGCCTGCCTCTGCTTCCCAAGCCTCCCAAGTGCTGGGAGTGTCGTGCGCCACCACTGCCTGGCAAAACTTCTCTTTATGTATGTGTTACTTTCTTCAATTTGCTGAAGGGATTATAGCATGCACCTTCAAGTTGGTACATTACAATTCTAGTTAATACCAACTTTATTTTGGGGGGAAAAAGAAGAATTTTGCTTCTATATGTCCTCATTTCCCCTCTTTTTTTTTTTTTCTGATACTACTCATGTTTGTATTTAAGCTTGGCCTAAGCAAAGCTAAGCTCCAGACAATGTCGTTGGCTCTACAACATTGAGAATGTGGTGTGATGAGCTCTGGCTGCATCTGATGGCACAGTATACCTCCCTACAGTGAAACCATCCAGGGTAGAGGATGTGTGTGTGCCGACCCCTCTCTGACTGTCACTTTGGGGGTATTTTAATAGTGTTCATTTTCTTGCCAGTATGTCATTGCATTTAAAGAAAATGAATAAGCTATCCAACATCTGAGTTGATTCCAGAGAAAGGGCCTGCTGAGCTCTTGCCCACCACTGTGTCACAGGTGAGGTCACTGAGTTGGCTTCTTTCCACCTGTCTCCCATTAGACAGGATGACTGTGGTGGATAGTGTGGTCTAGATAAGATACAGATCAATCCAGCCAGATTCTCTAGCTCTGTGTTTCAGTTCCACCAACCACCAGGTGATCCTGGCCAGGTTATTTTACCTCTTTTCATCACTAGCTGAGGAGGTCAGTATGCAAAACAGAGAACAGTGTCTGCCTCTGCTCTCACCAAATCCCTGCCCTGGAGAGGGGATGCAGAAGACCACGTGACACTGACCTGGTCTTGAACATCTTCATCACAGAGCTCCAGCTGCATGATGCGCTCAAAGGGCCGGAACAGTGCTTCATTAAAGTGAAAGTGAGGTGGCTCACTCCAGTCAGTGAGAACCTCAGTCAGGATATCATGGATGAAGGAAACAGCCTTCTGAGACACATGACGTTCCTTGTGACAGGCAGCCTACACAAGATGAGAGACGGCAAATGCCAACAGGAAGTCAGGCAAGGAGAATACGGCTTCTGGAGGCAACCTCATTATTTGAAGGTAGAAAAGACAATCCTGTTTACATTCAAACTTCTAAGGAATTTTAGTGTACAGATGATATATATGCTAAACTGCACTTGAAAATTTAACCACTGGTCACATACAACTTCAGTGTTACCTTGAGGTCTCTGGAAGAGTATGGTTTCTATTATTTTCTTTTTTATGCAGCATAGAACATTTCTTCAGCAGTACAGAACATGTTCACAATAACCTAGTCTGGGAACTGCTCATGGTTAACCCTTAGTAATTCGCCTAACGTATGAAGATCATTTGTCTCCTAGTGAGATGGGGCAGTTGTAATGAGAATTCAAATTGTTTTACACAGTTTGGATCTAATGTTCTTTATTGACTGTTTCACACTTGTTGGGAGCCGACTCTTAGCCGAAATCGGCTATCATCTTTGCAGCCATCTTGAGCCATATACCCTGGCAAGAGACTTGTTTTCAACAGCCTACAACATCTGAGCACTCTCTGATAATTATCTTGATCCTTTCAATCAAGGCCAGGCAGTGGTGGCACACGCCTTTAATCCCAGCACTTGCAAGACTCAAGGCGAGACTTGAGGAGAGATATAAAAGGAGAGACTTGAGAAGAGAACAGGGCAGATTCTATCTCCAGAGTAGACTCAGCAGACTCTGTCTCGTCTCCAGATCAGACTCCCTGTCTTGTCTCCATTCTTCCTGTCTCCGTCCCCACTCTCTCTCTTGCTAGACCCTGACCTACAGACCGGAGCAGCAGAACGGGCTGTTACAAAGTGAGGCTCAACTCGGGGCAGCAAGAACGAGAGACCCAGTGAGGGACATTACCAGAAGAAGGGTCCACTGAAAATTCAGAAGTGAAACGGAGGTGATTGCCATGGGAACCTGCCGTGTGGAGACCAGTAGGTGATAGTAATGATAATGGGGCAGGAAATAAGTCAGCCTGAACTCAACTCTCTGTTTTTGTTTTGTTGTTTGCTGCTTACGTGTGTTAATTGTTTGCTTCTGTTCTGCTGTTTAAATGCTGTCTTTCATGTTCAAAAGAAAAAGAAAAGTATAGAATCCAAAATACGACCAAAGGTTGAAGTAGTTGATTTGACAGAGCTGGATTGTGCTGACCTAGAGGAAGAGGCAGCCAAAAATTATGACCCCGAATGGTCCTCTTCCCATAGGCCCCCTCCCTTTGCTCCTCCACCTCCAGATGCTCCTGCTATGGAGATGGTCGTTGTAGATTCCAGAAAGGAGTTACAGGACAAAATTTCTCTGCTTAAACAACAAATAGAGTTAGAAAAAGAGTATCAGGACTTAATTAATCACCTACAAAAATTAAAGACAAGGAAGATGTCTCGAGAGGGCAAGGAAAATCCCTCAGGTCCTCAAGTTCCTCAATTCGGAGTCCAAAGGCAGCCCCTGCTCTCTGGTTTTAGTTCAGCCACAGATCAGCCAGAGGAGGGAGAGGCTGAGGCTTTCCCTGAATCAGAGACTAGAGATGCTCAAGAGGTTGCTTGGAGACATCACACAGGGTTTAATTTTCAAATTATTAAAGAATTAAAAAATTCAGTGGCACCTTATTGTGCCACTGCTCCCTTTACTCTTGCAATCTTAGAATCTGTTGCAGAGGAGTGGCTGACTCCTGGTGATTGGAATACTCTAGTGAGAGCAGTTCTTAGTGGTGGTGACTATCTTATTTGGAAATCAGAGTATCATTCATGAGAATTGTAAAGAGACAGCTAGGAGAAATATTCAGACAGGTAATGGTTGGTCCTTTGATGCCTTAGTAGGAGAAGGGCAATTTGCTTCTAGTGATAACCAGATACAACATGACCCAGGCTTATTTGCTCAAATTCAAAATGTGGCCATGAAGGCTTGGCACAAACTCCCGGTAAAGGGAGACCCTGGTGCATCTTTGATCTCAGTCACACAAGGGCCTGACAAATGATTTTCTGATTTTGTTCATCAATTAATGACAACAACAGGAAGGATTTTTGGTAATGCAGAGGCAGGTGTAGATTATGTGAAACAGCTTGCATATGAAAATGCAAATCCTGCCTGCCAAACGGCCATTAGACCCTATAGGAAAAAGACAGACCTTACTGGATATATCAGACTCTGTTCTGACATAGGGCCCTCTTACCAACAGGGCTTAGCTATGGCAGCCGCCATGCAAGTACAATCAGTAAGAGATTTTCTGGCAAGTAGAGACAAAAGGGCCTGTTTTGAGTGTGGCAAGCCTGGACACTTTGCAAAATATTGCAAAGCAGAAAATGAGTTAACCCAGAGACAGCCTAGAAAACAGCCTGGCCTATGCCCACGTTGCAAATGTGGAAGTCATTGGGCTAGTGAATGTAGGTCCAAGACAGATGCACAAGGAAACACTCTTTCAGATAATCAGGGAAACGGGAACGGGGCCAGCCCCAGGCCCCGAGCCAATACATGCCAAAACAGGCTTATGGGGCAGTCAGTATCATACCAGCAAACAACAATCCCTTTCAGAACTTAGTCGAGCAACCCCAGGAAGCGCAGGACTGGACCTCAGTTCTGCCACCCACACAGTATTAACCCCAGAAATGGGACCTCAGGCCTTACCCACTGGAGTGTTTGGACCACTCTATCCAAATGTGTTTGGCCTGATAGTGGGAAGAAGCAGTGCTACTATGCAGGGACTACAAATTTTTCCTGGAGTTATAGACAATGATTATCAAGGTGAGATTAAGGTAATGGCCAAGGCAATACAGAATATAGTCACTATTCCTACAGGAAGGAGGATAGCTCAACTATTGGTACTTCCATTGATTCCTACTAATCACAAATATAAGAGTCCTAAGAGAAGAGATCAAGGCTTTGGTTCCTCTGATGCCTACTGGGTGCAGCCTATAGTTAAACAAAAACCTATGATGACAATATTGCTCGATGGGAAGGCATTCCAAGGTTTGGTTGATACAGGAGCTGATGTGACCATTATCAATCAAAGTGATTGGCCTGCCACCTGGCCTCTGACACCAACTTTAACCAATTTAAGGGGTATTGGCCAAAGTCAAAATCCACAGCAAAGCTCTAAGGTGCTGACATGGAAAGATAAAGAAGGAAATACAGGGAATATACAACCCTATGTCATCCCGGGCCTTCCCAATAATCTCTGGGGCAGAGATCTATTATCCCATTTGGGATTGATTATGTGCAGCCCTAATGAAGTAATCACAGCTCAAATGATAAACTCTGGATTTTCTCCAGGGAAAGGATTAGGAAAAAGTGAAAATGGGATTACTCATCCTATTGAGGTCCATGGTAACTCTGGAAGAAGAGGCTTGGGGTATTTTTGATGGGAGCTATTGATTCAACTGCACCCCTAGGGCGTTGTGACGATCCCATCACCTAGAAGGAGGACTCACCCATCTGGGTGGATCAGTGGTCCCTAACCACCAAGAAATTACAAGCTGCTCAATTGCTAGTGCAGGAGGAAATACAGGCAGGACATTTAGAAGAGAGTAACCCTCCCTGGAATACCCCAATATTTGTCATTAGGAAAAAGTCAGGAAAGTGGAGATTGTTGCAAGACTTGAGGGCTGTTAACGAGACTATGATTCTGATGGGAGCCTTACAACCTGGGTTGCCCACACCAGTGGCCATACCTTTAGGCTATTATAAAATAGTTATAGATTTAAAAGACTGTTTCTTTACTATCCCTTTGCATCCTAATGATAGAAAGCGCTTTGCTTTTAGTGTTCCCGCTATAAACTTTAGAGAACCTATGAAAAGATATCAATGGAAGGTCTTGCCTCAGGGTATGGCTAACAGTCCTACCTTGTGCCAAAAGTTTGTGGCTTCTGACATAGAGGGTGTTAGAACCATGTGGAAGCAAATCTACATAATTCATTTCATGGATGATATTTTAGTAGTGGGAAAAGATGGAAAACAGGTACTCCAGTGCTTTGATGATCTTAAAACAGCTTTACAGACTGCAGGGTTACAAGTAGCACCAGAAAAGGTACAATTACAAGATCCATATACTTATTTAGGATTTCAGATTAATGGTCCACGTATTATTAACAGTAAGGCCACCTTGAGGACTGATTCCCTTAAGACACTTAATGATTTTCAAAAACTGTTGGGAGACATTAATTGGCTATGACCATATTTGAAACTTACGACAGGAGAGTTGAAACCTTTGTTTGACATTCTCAAAAGAGATCCTGACCCTAAGTCTGGCAGGGCTCTAACAGAGGAGGGTAGAAAAGCCTTATGGAAGGTTGAGAATGCTATTTCATCCCAATTTGTAACTCATATTAATTATTCTAAGCCTTTGTATTTTCTTATTTTTTACACTAAACTAACTCCTACTGCAGTTTTTTTTTTTTGGCAAACTGCACCCATATTATGGGTTCATCTTTCCTCATCCCCTAAAAAGGCTCTTTATCCATACTATGCAGCTGTAGCAGATATGATTATGTTAGGCAGAGATAACAGTCAAAAGTATTTTGAAAAAGATCCTGATGTCATAGTACAACCATATACAAGACATCAGGTTAATTGGCTTATGCAGAGTTCTGAAGTTTGGCCTATAGCATGTGCTTCATTTGGTGGTCAACTAGATAACCACTATCTGCCAGACAAATTAGTTCAATTTTGTAATTGCCATGCATTTGTTTTTCCATCTCGTACTGCGCATGCACCTATAAAGGAAACATTTCTAGTTTTCACTGATGGGTCCTCATCAGGAACGGCTGCATATGCCTTTAAGAATCAAGTAATTTCCTTTGCTACATCAGCTGTGTCAGCTCAATTGGTTGAATTACATGCTGTGTTTCAAACATTTCGAAATCAAACCATTAATATTTACACAGATAGTTCATATATAGCTCAATCTATTCCTCTGCTAGAAACTGCTGCACAAATAAAGCACTCCTCAGAAGCAGCCAATTTGTTTTTACAGTGCCAACAATTAATTTTGAGAAGAAAGTGTAAATTCTTTATAGGACACCTGAGAGCCCACACTGGGCTACCAGGTCCTCTCGCTGAAGGAAACGCCAAGGCAGATCTAGCCACTGGAATAGCCACAGTGACTTTATCAGATCTGCCATCTAACTTAGAATAGGCTGTAAAGGCTCATGAGTTACATCACCTTAATTCTAAAACTTTAAAGGTCATGTTTAAAATTACCAGAGAACAAGCTAGACAAATTGTCAAACAATGTCAATCATGTGTTAAACTTTTACCAGTTCCTCATTTAGGTGTGAATCCAAGGGGACTGATACCAAACAGTCTCTGGCAAATGGATGTTACTCATTATAATGAATTTGGAAATCAAAAATATATACATGTATGTGTAGATACATACAGTGGTTTCATTTATGCTACATTACAAACTGGAGAAGCAAACAAACATGTGATCAATCATATGCTTGCTACAATCGCTGTATTGGGTGTGCCAAAACACATCAAGACTGACAATGGCCCAGGTTATACAAGCTCCAGTTTCCACCAATTTTGTGAAAAATTGAGAATACTACATAAAACAGGTATTCCATATAATCCACAGGGCCAAGGTATGGTAGAAAGGGCACATCAAACCATTAAATGTCAATTCGAAAAAATTAAAAATGGGGAATGGTACCCTACTAAGGGATCCCCCAGAAATATCCTTCATCACATGCTCTTTATTTTAAATTTTTTAACTTTGGATTCTGAAGGAAAATCTGTTCCAGATAGATTCTGGCATCCTGATACCAAAAAGAATTTTTCAACAGTCCTCTGGAAAGACCCATTAACTGGAACCTGGAATGGGCCAGATCCAGTGCTTATCTGGGGAAGTGGTTCTGTCTGCATATATTCCCAAATGGCAGATGCTGCATGCTGGCTGCCAGAGAGACTGATCAAACAAATAGACAACAATAACAAATCCAGGGAGGAGAAACCCCCTGAGAAGAGTATTTTTTCTTTACAGGAAACATGAAGATGCTTCACAATTGTCTTCAAACAAGAGCGGATCAACCAGCATACCAGACTTGGGAAGTTCTCAGTGCGGAAGAAGACATCACCACCGACACCTCCAGGGTGGCTCTATTGGACTTTTGGTTCCCTGATTTATGATTTAGTGGGGTATATTGTTTAGACTCAGGAGAAAACCCATTACCACAGTTACTATAATTGTTTTTTGGGTTTAGGATTGACTGGGATAGGAACGGAGATTTTCTTTATTGGTTTTGTTAAGATCAAAGCTATGATCAGTTCTGTACTTCTATAGATTTAGATTTAGAAAGAATGGAATCTGCTATAATGCATTTGTAAAATTCATTATCCTTCTTAGCTGAAATAGTGCTACAGAATAGAAGAGGCTTATACTTTTTACTCTTCCAACAGAAGGAGTTATGTGCTACCCTAAAAAGAGTGTTGCTTTTGCAATAATCATTCAGGCATTGCTAAGTCTCTTGTCTCTTGGGTTCACGTTGTTCAACAAACTGATGGCTTTTGTATGGCAATAGATAGACGCTATTCAAATGAAACCCATATAAGTCCGTTATTACAGGCTGGAAGTAGGGGACTCCAAAACCTCTGTCATCAAGACTGATGAGGATTAACCCCTAACTTATGCGCTAAGCCAGATAGTCAACGACGAGTAAGAGAACACTTCAAGACCCTTGCCCCAAACTGGGAGGTCTCACTATCCTAAGACAGAAGCTCAACCAATGGCTGTTGAGTATCCAGAGACGGGAAAGGGAGGCTGGGGTCCTTTGTTCCAACCTAAGACAGGCACGGTTTCCGTAAGTTTTCCCAGCCTTCCCTTTTGAAAACAAAATCAAAAACAGGGACCTGTTGGGAGCCAACTCTGAGCAGAAAGGAGCTATCATCTTTGCAGCCATCTTGAGCCTTGTTTTCAACTTGAGACTTGTTTTCAACAGCCTACAACAGCTGAGCACACTCAGATAATTATCTTGATCCTTTCAATCAAGGCCAGTCAGTAGTGACACATGCCTTTAATCCCAGCACTTGAGAGACTCAAGGTGAGACTCAAGGCGAGACTTGAGGAGAGATATAAAATGAGAGACTTGAGGAGAGAACAGGGCAGACTCTATCTCCAGAGCAGACTCAGCAGACTCTGTCTCGTCTCCAGATCAGACTTCCTGTCTTGTCTCCATTCTTCTCGTCTCTCTGTCCCAACTCTCCCTCTTGCTAGGCCCTGACCCATGGACCGGAGCAGCAGAACGGACCGTTAAACACACTGGCTCTCAACTTTGACATGGAACTTGCTTTGTGTAATGGCACAACAGATGGGCACAATAGAGATCATTCCATATGTAAAAAACTGTGATAGGAAGTTTGTGCTCTCACTGTTTGGGGCAATCCAAAGGAGACCATGTGAATGGGTGGAGACTGTTGGCCAGAGGCAAACCTATATTAGAGTCTATGTGGAGAGAGAACTATGTCCACCCTGTCCAGTTAAAGCTACCAAGAACCAATTTGTGCCTGTCTTTGTATCAGTGGACTACAGCATACAAGAAAAACCATGTGGGCTCAGCCAAGCTAGCTGTCTTACTTAGGGTTTCTATTTCTATGCTAAAACACCATGACCAAAAACAACCTGGGGAAAAAAGGGTTTACTTCATTTTATATTTCCAGGTAACAGTCTGTCATAAGGGAAGTCAGGGAAGAAATGCAAGCAGGGGAGAAAGACCTGGAGGCAAAAACTGATGCAGAAGCCATGGAAGAATGCTGCTTACCATCTTGCTCCTTATTGTTTGCTCAGCCTGCTTTATTAATCTTTTTATTTATATGAGTACACTGTAGCTGTCTTCAGACACACCAGAAGAAGGCATCAGATCCCATCACAGATGGTTTTGAGCCATAGTGTGGATACTGGGAACTGAACTCAGGACCTCTAGAAGAGCAGTCAGTTGTCTTAACTGCTGAGCCATCTCTCCAGCCCTCCAGCCTGTTTTATTATATACCCAAGACCACCAGCCCAAGGTGGCACCACCCAGAGTGATTTGGGCTCTACCACATCAATTGTCAATCAAGAAAATGTTCCACCGGCTTGCCCAAAGGTCAACCTTGAACAAAATCTGGGGGTGTTTTCTTAATTGAGATTTTCTTCCCAAATGAATCTAACTTGGTGAAGCTGAAATAAAACTAGGCAGCACAGTAGTCCAGACCAGAATTACCCAAGCATTTTCTTCAAATTTATGATACAGAGCATCATGAGCTAAAGAAATGGCTACTGTTTGAAACTCCTAGGCTTTCAACATAGCTAATTATACCTAATAATACCTAGCTGATACAGTCTTTGGCCTTGACTAAATTGCTATTTTCTACCTTTCTTCTTTACTAGTCTATGCTTAGGCTAATAATTTAATTTCTGTAAAATAGTTTCTTATATATCTTTACTAGGTAAGCACTAGAGCACATTTATGACCAGTTATTGTAAATACAACAATAATGGTTTCTGTTACTTAGCTGGTGGAGTGGTTTGAATGAGAAATGATCCCCATACGTTGAGGTAGTTATTGAACACCTGATCCCCCAGCTGGCACACTGTTTGGGGAGGCAGCACAGCCTTGCTTGAGGAAGTGACCTTAGGGGTGGGCTTTGAGATTTTATACCCTCTCCCTAACTCCAGTTTGTTTACTCTGCCTTGTTTATCCCTGAAGACATTATCCTCTCAGCTTCCTGCTCCAGCTGTGCTTCCCTGTCATCATGTGCTCTCTGGGAGCTTACGTCCAAATAAACCCTTCCCTCATTAAGTTCCCCGAGTCACAGCACCAGCAAAGACTAATAAAGGCAGTCATCATGAGCAGAGAGGGTTAGACATAGGGATACTCCAAAACTGCTTTCCTTCAGAGAGCAGAAGAGTGTTAGGATTCATTTTATGGAGAAAACCAGGCTATATGGTTCCCCTTCTAAAGTAACATGTCCTTAGTAACTGAGTTAACAGAGAAGAGACACAAGAACCAAAAGGTGTTGCCTCAAAGAAAAGAATTGATTCAGGATTCTTTCTTTTACCTCCAGACTCACATTGAGAGCAGAAAATGAGAAAATAAAACAGCCAGCTTTGAAAGGAAAATAATTGAGCTGTATACTTGGAAAAGAACTGGGCCATAGTGACACCATGGTAGTCCTTCCTTTTGAAGTAAGCCTTCAGATGCTTGGTTATACAATCAGAACAATAATGCTTGTGACCAGGCCACAGAGAGCTCTCCTCACACTCTAAATACAGCCTCTATGCTGACTCTGCAGCAGAACTCCCTTAGAGTTTACAATGACAGGCTCTTCCCAACCTCCAGTCTCACCTCCACCAGGTGTGGGGCCACGAGACTCCAGCAGCGCATCACATGGAGCAGGGGCCTGGCCTTGCTTCTCACAATTCTCAGCATGGCATCCCCCAGGCGGAACAGGTGCAGAGCACTCTTTTGATCATGGGTAGACTTGAATTCACCTACAAGAAGGTGAGATGAGAAAGCACAAACTTAGGTATAGTTCAATAGACTCTAGCACAAAGAGAAGTTGAAAATCAAGGCTGTGTTCTTGGATAGCAAGACAGTTTCAGATGGCTCATCAAGGAAGGTGAGAGCCTTCTATACAAAACCAGCAAGGTGGTTACTTAGCAGGACCAAAACCTCTCCTTGATTCAATACCATGTTCACAGAGAAAAAGACACGAGGCAGTGGTATAAATTATAAGGCTGTGGAATCAGACCTGCTTAGTAACTGCACTGGAATGGGCCAAGGATTTCCCTCTAATCCCCAATGATCTCACGTATAAAACAAGGGGTAAATATATCTACTCCTTAAAATTCTCATTATCATTAAATGAATGTGATGACTCATATCCAGTGCTTAACATGGGCCCAGCACACACAGATGAGTGTTTTCAAATATAATAATTATGATTTTTACTGTCATCATTCACACATGGTGAGAAGAGGGCATCAACGATTGGGGCTATTTCCTCCTTACTTACCAACAGTTTCTTCAGGGAAAATTACCTGGCATTGTCAGAGAGTAATCAACTGTGTCTGTCACGGAATGGAAGAGCTGGGACTGGGATGCTTTCTTGAGTTGGTAGAGGAACCCTCCCAAGGCTGTTAAGTTCAACTTATTGGTAGCATCATCAAAGAGCCTGGGTGGAAACAAACATGTTATATGGGAACAATTCATCAAGGGCATATGGCAGAATATTTATGGCAATTTAGTTGATGTAAATAACAAAACTTGCAAAATCATTGCAGAGAAATGGGTGATATTGTCATAACTATTATTAATGTGATCAAGTCTGCATTAACCATGAGACTTTGATACAAAGAACACCATAAAGCATACTTGGAAAAAAAAAACTTTGCAGCTTCCAAGGTTGCCAACAGTGGTAGGAACTCTTAAATTGTTTGGCAAGAATGTAAAAGATGATGAGTTATTGCTTCTAGATATTCCAGGATGGTGGAGTGTAAAGATCAGACATTAGGGTCCTATAGCCCTATAGCCACAGTGATCAGCGAGGTATCTATGGTCTACCTGCCAAACCTGCCACGATTTCAGTGGAATGGGTTGCCATGTGCTGCTCAAGGGACATTGTCTTGAACAGAAATTGAATCTTGAGCCTTTTTTGAAAAATGAAACTATGACAAACTAAGTTTTAAGACAGAAATGGTTTAAAATATAAAGCATGAAAAGATATTACATATTTTATAAATCCAGTGTTGAGAACAACTAAGCACATCTGAAAGTTAACAACAAAAGTTGAAGAGCTAGTTTGAAAATGAGCCAAGGATGTGAAAGGACAAAGATGCAAAAATGACTGGTGGGATCACAGGAAATAATTCAGAGGACCCATGTTCAACTCCTAGCACATGGAGTCTCTCTGGAGAGAGAGACTTTGAAGCATTTTCTGATGCTACCATTTTAGAATGGAATGGCTTAAAACAAATTAGTTGACTCCACTGACCTATATTTCCTACTCTAAGAAATAAAGTTAATAACACTCATGGTTGGAGCGCCTGGAGTGTTGTCTAGTCTGTGTGAAGTGTCTGCGAAAGTACTTGATATCATAACCACTAACTAATGTTAATTCATATTATATTATCTCATTATTATGGCCTATTCACTGGAGCCTTTGAGAGATGAGGATGCATTCTCAGCATGAGAGCTCAATCTCAGCAGATGATCTCAGGCAGAGGAAGCAGAGGGGCTCAGGAACTCATCCTACTTGTAGACCCATCCTTTTGAGTAAACTGACCATTCTGAGACAGAAAGTGAGACAAAAAGACAGAACACCACACACACACACACACACACACACACACACACACACACACACACATTGATGTGAAGGAATCATCCAAAATAAAGATTATCAGTATACCATGCTTTGTATAAAAAATTTTAACAAACTTTTAAAACAATGAAGTTATATTAGACAAATTCTAATGTTTAAAGACCTTGTTAAAATTTATTTTTATAGTCAGTATTAATAGATATTTAATTATGATAAATCTCCTTTTGACTTGTTCTTCCAAGAATTTCTATTAATATAGTAGCAAAATCTTTCGTGTCTACTTCAAAGATAATTATATTTGCAACTGACGTCTTTCTTATTTTGGCAGGAGACATCTGAAGAAGAAAACAGCACAAACACAGCACATAGCATACACAGCACATTCACAATACATACCTGCACATATGTGCATACACACACATACAAAACTCATATATACCAGCACATACTCATAGTACACACAGTACACACAGTATACACACACACACACAGTATACACACACACACACGAACAATGCACATATGTACCACACACCAGGACTCAAGCAAACACATACTAACACATCACACAAACATACCAGTACATATACAGCACACAAGCACACATACAGTATGGTACTTACACAGCACACATATATAGCACACACCAAACACATATATGTGAACACTCATCACAAACATACACATAGTTTGGTAAATCTATTAAGTACCTCAGGACTTTTGAGAACACATTTATTACACTGAGTGCACATGTCTCATATAACTTCAGCGATCACTCTGTTCTCTACCAGCACCAAGTCAGACTACACTGAAGTTTTCTTTGTAATGTTTTCAGTTATTAACTAAATGCACATGTTTAACAGAAATGACAAGAAAAATAGACATCCTACCTATTTGATTTTGTAGGTCAATATCACTGTGCCCTACTATGAAAGAAACATGATAACAAGTGTTGATTTTGGATTAAAGTAGTGATCATGCTCTTATACTTTGGAAATCACAATGATGTAGCTTGTGAGACTCCCTATTTTCCAAGACTGGCCTGGAATACATGATCCTCCTGCTTCAGCTTCCTGAGTGGTGGACTTTCAGATGTATACCCCATGTCTGGCTGTGTATAAGAATATATTGTTATCAGGGCGTACAGATGACTTGGCCTATGATGCGGTATATATTAATACTATTCCCATTTTATTATAATGAACAGACATAAACAACGTATAGATGGATATACAAAGATTGCTTTTACGTTTTTAAGCTACATTAAAAAAAGATTTTCCAATTCAAACTGTAATGCTTAAGAGAAATTAAAATTTAATGTCCAGTAAAGAATATGAAATGGAAAAAGACAGAAATAATTAAAAATTTGAAAATTACTAAAAACTACACATTTTCTTTGCTATTTTCTATTTTATTCCTGAATCGCAACCATTTCTTTGTCTTTCATTTTAGTAAAGAGAGTACAGGAGTGTGTTATACTCATGACACCCATGTATTACTTCCTGGATTCTAAAACACTTTAATAGCCAATTTATAGGAAAACTAGAAGCAAGTGACTATTCTACCAGTTAGAGCAAGTACAACTTGTTTGAGTCAGTGGGGAAAAGTGAGTTGAAGTTTAACCGTTTCTATAGAAATTAGCAGGCTGGTCAATGTCAAAGTCAGACTAGAAAGTCAGGCTGTTTGAGCCCAGCCAGTGAACGTTTGACCTGCTACCCTAGCCGCTTCCTGTCTGTCCTTTTTGTAGGAAGCCTGAGCATAACGACTATACTTTGAAGGGGTAAATAAGGTGATGTGGTGTGACTGGACATCACAAGCACCCCCAGAATCAAGACAAATGTTGCCAAACATTTCTGGGTGGGAATTCTTTTAGTTTTTTATTTCATGAGTATATATGTATCTCTGTGTGTATGATATATTATCAGTGAGGAAGTCATAAATGTGTGTATATACACATACACACATACATAGACACACACACACACTCACACACTCACACACACACACACACACACACACACACACTTATGTGCACATGTGCATAAACCTAAAGTTGACAATGGGTATCTTCCTTGATTTATTTTTTATCTTGATCTTTTTCATTCCACTTACTTATTGCTGCAGGTTCTCTTACTGAATCCAGGGTTTGACAGTTTTTGCTAGCCTAGGTAACTGGTTTGTCCCAGGGAACCTGTCCTTGACTCCCTAGTGTTGTGATTCCAGGGAGCTACCAGGTCTACCTGGCTTTTTATGTGAGCCCCGGGGATCTGAATTCTGATTTTCATCCTTGTGCAATAAACACTTTGTCCACTGAGCTATCTCCACAACCCAAGGTATGGGATTACGTATCAAGTCACCAAAATTTAATGTATTATTTAATTCAACCTTGTAACTACCCTCTGAACATTACTTTATAAAAGAATCTTATTTTACCAGTGAGGAAGTGAGACATGATAGTAAAACCATAGACTAAATTTCAGGTAGTCCACTTAAGATGTGGAACTCAGGCATTAGAGGATGGTTCATTCAAAAAATGGTTCGTGGTATGAGGGAAGACAATGGAAAGAGGGATGGGAGACAGTTTAGTGATATCAACTGATAGCTGACTTGCAAGCCCAAGAAACTGAATTCAACTCCCAGAGCCCACATAAAAAAGCAGAATATAATGGTTCACACTCGTAACTAACCCTGATGTGGAGGAGGCAAATATCAGGCTATATCTGGAATTTGCTGATCAGCCAGCCTAGCTTACTTGATAAGCTCTAGAGGGCATTAGAGACACTGTTTCAAAAAACAAACAAAGCAACAAAAAAGTGAATAGAGCCTGCAGAACAGGCAAGGCTACACATACCTGCGCACACGCGCGCGCGCGCGCGCACACACACACACACACACACACACACGCGGGATGGAAAGCATTTTTAGTAACTAGTTAATGCATCGTTATCCTCAGGCTGATTTTGAGACCAGACAAATTAATACAGACATAGCCAACTGGCAATTCCTGCTTAAGCATCCTCAGGGTGAGCTGGCCTTGCATACCTGTCAGCCTGGGTAGAAAGGCTGAGCACCACCTTGGCAGCACTGTTCCCACTCAGACTACCTCCCCGGAAGTCTGAGGTCCGGCCACGGCTACATTCCCGAACAAGCTCTTGGATGGAATGTGGCTGGACCACAGGGCCTGCGTTCAGGGAAGGCCCCTGGTCCAGGTTCTGCTCCTGGGATGCGCTCTTAAACTCAAGTTCTCCAAGGAGGCCAGAGCTCCCAGATGTCTTCTGTGGATGATGGATGGTCAGAGGGGGCTGGGAGATACCATCGCTGAAGTGGGTGTGCTCCAGGGTGCCCACATACTCACATACCCTGGAAAGAGTCAAAGCGGAAGTGAATACTGTAGCCCAGTGCTGCAGACTCTATTCATCCCACAGTGAGGCAAAAGGCAATCCAGCTACCCCTGGGGTTTGCCTCAGCTTTTTTCTTTTCCTCTTATCATAGTTTGCACTGCCATTTCCTCACTATGTATGTATGTTACTACTTAAGAGACAGAAAATTTGTTTTGGGTTGGGCCAGCCTTGGCACGGGTAAGGTATTCCTTAGACTCTCACTCATCACTGCTGGGGAAAACAGGCAATAGAGTCCTGTTTACCATTTCTGTTGATTAGGTTACTGCTTTACTAGACAGTTTATTTGAAAACTTTCCTTGAGGAATCCCCTCTCCCTCTGTACTATGTTCTGATTAGCTGAGAAGCATGCTCTTATGAAAGGATCCCAAAATAAACACGCCCATAGTGGACAGCTCTGCTGACACAGTAGAGTTCTACCTGGTTATGATGTGTCTGATGCTAATAGTTCCATATACCTTTGTCCAAACAGGGAACAGGGTTGAGGGGGCATTCCCTAGCATGGTAGAAACAGAATAGACACATGCAACTGCCAATTTGCAAAGGGTGTGTTCCTAAATGAATTTAGGATTAAGATGCCTTCTAAGACATCCTTTATCTTGGATAATTTAGTTGTTGTCAAAGGGCATCCTGACAAACTATTCTGGTGTTCTATAATTGGGAAATTTGTTGAATTCACATACATTGCTTAGGTGCCACCTGAGTCTTTTCTCTTTGTTTTCTTGTAAGACCAATGCAAAACATTTGGTCATCAGCTTCTCTATCTCACTCCACTTGGCTCCAGGCTGCTTCTTTCTGGTCCTTTCACATGTTCTTTTCAAGTTGGGTGGTGTAGTGGGAGATGCTGATAGGTCTGGTTCCCTAATTGGTTCTTGATTTTGTCAATAAAGAAGGCGGGAAGAAGGTACAGGTGGGGCTTCTGGGTTCCAGGAGGAAAAAGCAGACACAGGGAAAGGGAGGGGCTTTTCTGCCATGCTTTGGAACAAGAAGACAGCAGCAGCCATGTAAGGCCTCAGGACAGCTAAGGCCTGCAGCTTCTGCTACGGGCAGGGACCAAGGAGGTTGTGAGGGCTAGCTGATACAGGGTAGGTGATAAGTTTAGAGCAGGAGGAGAAATGGAGATAACATGTGATGACGGTGTGCCTGTCCAGGCAGGAGATTCTGTGCCCAGCAACTGTGCTAGCTGACAAGTTCTAAAGTCACAAAGCTGTTTGAGTGTGTTTTATCTGCGGAGCAAAGAAGGGTAGAAAAGAGAAGTCGGGTTGAGGGATGGTTGCGATTGATAGAGGGCTAAGCAGGGAGGAGCTGGTAGCTCCATCTCAGCTCCTGGGCTAAGGTGGTAGAATGTTTTTAAGACTGCATGCACCAGGTTAGTCTTACAACCCTTAGATATGCTGCATTCTCTTCTCTTAGGAACTCAACGAGCACTTGGAGCTATATTTGTTTTAGTGAAGTCAAACAGAACCAAGATCTTGCTGGGTTATCATATTAATATTCTCTTTCCATGAATGATCTGCTCGTTTCTTCTGCTCTAATGTCAGTTAGTGGGGAGACATGGTTCTTGACTTGGACTTAAGAGTTGGAGTTGTCTTTTTTTTTTTTTTTAATTTTATAGGTGCTGACTGGGACTCTCTTTACTTCCGTGGCACAAAACTTACAGTCAAATTTTTAGTGGTGCTTGCACAGATGTACTATTGTGTTCCTATTTTTCTTTGTCCACTTAAAGTAGATGTCTTTAATGAGGTACTGTATATAATGATGTATGCTATCCAGGGTCCTTTTGGAAAACAGGAAGGACATTAATAAGCATGCAACAGTTGGGTTATTGACTCCTGAACATATTTTAGACTTGTATTCATTTAAACCACATGCTTGTGTTCTATCTCTCACTCGAGAAAGCATCTTTTTTCCATTGGTATAATGCATCTGTCTCTCACACCAATGTCAAGAGATAGATCACAATTCCCTGAATCCAGTTCTGCCATTCTTTTCTCTGAAACATACATTCAGTGGGTGCTTATCTCTTGTCCTCTTTTCTGTGTCTCACTAACAATCTATCTAAATGGGGAATGCTCTGCTGAGATGCTGGAAGACTCTGGAGTCTATACCCTCTCTACCACCCCGGGCTTTCCACAGCAGGGTCTGTGCCATTAAGGGTGGGGATACCATCATGCACCTGAACACGTGTGGCCAGCAGTCCGGGTTGTGGCTTCCCATCTCCAGGCCTACGCTGAGGATGGCATCCATGCACAAGACGTGGGCTGTGTGCAGCCACACCCCCTGCACCTTCCCCATCTGCTCCAGTTTCTGCTCCACTTTTAGTTTCACTGTGCCAGAAAGACATTTATTATAATAGCAGTCTGAGTAGGGGAGACAGAAAGGGAGAGAGACAAGATGGAAATGAAAGAGTGTGTTCTCATGCAAGAGCAAAAGGGAAATGATATACTTCGTTGGCTGCAAGCACCTCTTCAGCAGGTCTCCATCGTCCACATGCAAAGTCATGGTCAGACAAGTCCCCATTCACTGGTGACCCCTGCTCTGTGGCTCTAAGGTCAGATGGACCCTGACTAGGTGCAGTTCCTTCCAGCCCACCAAAGGGTCTAGGTGGGACACAGCACCACTGTGGGTGGGCTTCATGAGCTAACTTGAGCCAAACCATCTGTTTCCAGAATCTTCATCCTTCCCTGTGCACCCAAATTTATAAATATCAAGAAATTCTTGGCAGTATATGAGTAAGTCTCTCTGAGATTGTTTAATATCATTTATGCCTTTCTCATGTGGTCATCTAAAAAAACTATGTGTATGTATCTGGAGCAGGATGATGACTTCTTTTCAAGTGAAAATCATGATGTCATTTCATCCCTGGAATCCACACTTGTATCTGTAAGCTATAAATGATGCTTTATTGAAATAAAACAGAGGGGTGATAACTGAGGAAGAATACAAAAATTGATTTAGCACATCATTCATGCCAAATCCCAACACAAGACCAAATGGCAGTACCACCCTTAAAGAAAGCTTTCCAGTCACCAGATTTGATGGGTGATAATGTAGAGCTAAGAAACAGAGAAAACTATCTTCTAGTGACTCAGCCAGTTTCGTGTTATAAGGAGAAGGGTATTTGTAGAAAAACACTATTTGCCTCATGAATATAAGACTGATTTTATTTTGTATTTGTTTATGATTAGAACATTTTAAGCTTTGTATATAAAGTATGTTGTTTTAGGAACTGCAATTGTAAAAATTAAACATTTCAAATACTTATTTCATGTGTATGAGTGTTTTATCTGCATGTATGTATGTGCACATGTGCATGTGGGTTCCCTCAGAGGTCAGAAATGGATGTCAGAATCATACAGATGGGTGTGAGCCACCACATAGGTGCTGAAAATATAACTTGTGTCCTCTGGAAGAGTAGCTAGTGCTCTTAATAGGTGATCCATCTCTCCAGCTACAAGAACTCTTTTAAAGATTCATTTTATTTATTTATTTATTTATTTATTTATTTATTTGTGTCTGTCAGTGAATGTATGTAGACACATATGTATAGGCATACATACCTGTGCATGTGCAGAGGCCTGAGTTAGGGTATTGTATCCCTGAGAACTTGGGTGAAAGGAAGACTTTTGTGTTGTACCTGGCTTGTAATTTTGGAGCTCATATCTGAAAATTGTGGTCCTTATGATTGGACAACAAGCACTCATACCTGCTGAGCCATCTTTCCAGACCCTACAATTTATATTTTTGAGTAAGTTCTTGCTGTGCAACTCAAGATGGCCTCCCATTTGTGACCCTCTCACCTCAAACTCTTGAGGTCTGGCATACAGATGTACACCACTACAGGTGGCTAAATGTATGGGTTTGTGTGTAGTTGACAGGTTTACAATGCTTAAGCTTTGATTCTTCCTTCTCCCAGATCTATAAGAAGTACTTTGCTTGTTAACAGGTTCCTAAATATTATTCAAGTTCATGGAAGAGTGACCTAAATTGCTTGTCTTTGCTAAGAATACACATTTTTATGTGAGTAGCTATTTTCCATATCCACAGATAGCATCAGTATTATTTGGATCATGCTTGTATTTCTCCTTCAGCCTCCTGGCTGCCTTGTATCTTCCATTACTATTAGGAAAGATATTTTCTTTCCTCGTGTCTAGATCATTAGCTTCACTGACCCTTTCTTGTGTCCACAAAGCTCAGGTTTTCCTGAGTGAAGTTTATCTGCCCCCTTTTTATAGATTCTATTTGATTTTTATTCTTAGAGCATTGGCCAATTTGCCAGTCCTACTTTAACCAGAGGAATATCTAATGTGCACTAGTAGCCTGATGATGACCCAGGTGAAGGTTTTACCAGGTGAGCCCCTGACACTCTTGTGAGCAGCCAACTGTACTTTCCTTGTCACTAGTAGCCAGTATGACTCCCTTGGGAGGAGGAGACACCATCAACACTAGGTAAGTTCCCTCCCCTAAAACAGACTCAAGCCTGTAGCCCAGGGGGTTCCTGACTAATAGTGATTACCTACTGTGTATCACACACAGAATGGGGACCAGTTGCTAGTGGTATCACCAGGTAGATCCTGGCCTGCAGCTGTTACCTTGTCCTAGGGCATCACTGGGCTCCTGGGCTTCCCTTTCTTCTTTCTCTTCCTGGACACAGGAAGCAGCTGCCATTTGGGCAAGAGCTGAGGCACAGTTAGCAGCAACCCCTTCAGAGAGACAAACAGCTACTGATTAATTGACTATGTTCTCCAGATACATACCAGAAGAACCCCTTCTAAATGATGCTTTGCCTAGTGAGTTCTGAAGAGACCCTCCCTCAGGCCAAGAGTCAGGGTTCCCCACAGGTACCCAGCGCACAGCTCAGCCGAGCAGCCTTCCGCAGCCCATCAAGGCTCATGCAGATGGCATCTCGCTCTTTCTGGTTCTGCTCTTTGATGCCCTCAGCTCCAAGGATGAAGGCCAGCCCCTTGGAGCTTCCTGCCATTCGACCAGTCAAGGGGGTTGACAGAGTATCAATCAAGTTCTTCCAGCAGCCAACCAAAATATAACGGGCAAATGCAACACCTATAAGAAAAAGAGGTGTCTGCCACTTTTCAGAGACAAAAAAGAATGACAAAGAAGGGTCCGAGGTCCTCCAGGCCTCAGAGAAGCAATTCTGAGTTACATGTAATTCTACAACAGGAAATACAATGTATTATGAGATGCGTTGGGTCAGGTTTCACACAGTCATCATAAATAATGGATGTAACATCACTGTCTCAGCTGGGCAATTTCATTTGCTACCTTCAGCCCAAGACAAAGTCATAATTTATTTAAGCCACCATTAACAGTTTGATTGCTGGTAACATATGTATATGTACATTTTACACTCAAAGGTGAAGGTCTTACCTGCTACCATGGAGTCATCAAGTCTCCTGCTCTGGGTGAAAGGCAACTCCACTGAAGCTGATGCCATCAGCTGGCCACCAATTGCACTGCTCTCTAAGCCATCAATATCTGCCAATCACAAGAGCAAAGTCATCCCTAAGTCTTCCTTTTTGGTAGACAAATAAAAGAAAAAAAAACAATAGCCACCATAATATTTATTTCTTTTCAACAAAAATCCATTCTATTTATTACATATGAGCCATAGAGTCACTTTTTTTCTGAGAGTATTATAAATGTTGCTTTGTTCACTCAGTCTATTTTTCTTGCATTGTCAAAGCATTCTATTATTTGCTGTTGCATGCTTTACATTTGAAAAAAATAAGGCTAAACTCTGCCTCTACTGTCAAAAATCTATTCACTCAAGATGTTTTCATCTTTGGATCCTGTATTTATTCAAAATCCTGGCATTATCACTAATCATACTCATAGAGTACTCTGGCGTGCATGTACATGCATGCACCCATGTGTGTGTGTACACTCATACACTCTCACACACACTTTAAAGAGCTCTCACTGTATGGAGCAGTCTAGTAACAGACTTGCTAGTCTCCTGCATCTGCTTCTCAAGTTTTGGACCAAAAAGAATATACAACCATGCCAGGTTAGTTAGTCGTTTTCTTCCAGAGCTGTTTCACCAAAACTAAGGAGAATAAACCTCTTTGGTCAGATAGTTTTCATTCTACTTACAGATGCAATGATGATGATACACTTTTCAATTTTCAAATTGTTTTACTTTGTAGTTGTTATTGTTGTTGTTTTCATTGGATTGTCCCCAACACTCAATCCAGGAAGGGATATTATTTTTCCATTTTTTTTTTAGGGATGAAATTCAGTATTTGAAGCAGAAAAAGGTCTAATTTCTGAGTGTCTGGGGGTAAGATCCAATTATAAAGTAGATAAACTGCCCAAGTCCACGAGGCAGGATGGAATTGGATTCAGTATTCATGTTTTCTGATTGGCATTCAGGCCTCTCTCTATAGCATTATGGTTTAGTTCAACATGAGTTCTTAAACTATGTCCTTTGAATTTTTGCAAGAGTAAACTCCCACCTATGAAAATAGTGCTATAAACTCCTTCATATTCTGGCAGAAAGGGACTGGTCTGGGCTAAAAAGCCTGGGTTTCTGCTTATCTCTGAATGAAGTGGACCTTTAGGCCTGAACCAGCACTTCATTCTTTGGGCATCAATTTCCTCATTATGAAATAAGCTGATCATGAGATACAACATATGAATTTGGATGCAACTGATACAGTTAAATGAAGGGAAAGGTAGAGAAAAAGGGATAGAATAATTTTCTCCTTAATTTGGAACTTCATCCTGACTTGAGTCTTGCTTGATGATGTCAATACATCGTGTCAAAATTTGCATTTTATATTGGAAACCTTCTAGCCAATACATCAAAAGTTCATAAAAGGTAGAAACTTATATGGCTTCTACTGTACAAATAGGCTACTTTTTTGGTGTCAATTTAGCTTTGACATTGGCTAATGACAATGGGCTAATGACATTTACCAGAAGTGATCATTTTATCCAGGTTATAATAGCTCCTATACACTAGGTCCAAGACTAATGCACTCAAGTAATATGAAATTTATTTAAGTGTGAACTTTTCCATTTCTATGAATGGTCTGCCATGTTATAAGAAGTGGCCCATATGTGTGCATGTGTGTATGCACATATGTGTGGAGACCAGAAATTGATGTGTGCTGTCTCCCTCTTCATCTTCTTTTTAAGACAGGGTTTCCCACTGAAACTGGAGCTCTCTGATTTAGCTAGACTGGCTGCCAGAAAATGCCATGAATCCTCTGTATTCACCTTGTCAGTACCAAGATTATAGGTACCTACGACTATGTCTTATTTTTATGTAGGTGCTAGGGATCAAACATAGATCCTTGAGATGATTGAGTTTTCTCTCCAGTACCCCTGAATGGTTATTTTCAAGTGATATAAAGAGAACCATGATCAATAAAGTACAAACTGGTCACTTGTCTCATGATCTTGATCCTTTTTTTTTTTTTGGTGTTTTTTTTTTTTTTTTCGAGACAGGGTTTCTCTGTGTAGCTCTGGCTCTCCTGGAACTTGCTTGGTAGACCAGGCTGGCCTAGAACTCAGACATCTGCCTCCCTCTGCCTTCCAAGTGCTGGGAGTAAGCCGTGCGCCACCACTGCCCGGCTGATCCTTAAGATGTGGAACCTAGACTTGCTCTTACCAGTTCCATCTTGACTCTAGAAGAAAGATTTCAGATTCAAGAAAGTTCCAGGACTGTGCTCTCCAGGGAGAGGCCTCATTAATATCTCTCTACCTGGGTTTCCAATTAGCACCTTCCAAATTCCACCTGATTGTTGGTTTCCACTGGCCAGTTGCTTTCTCTGTCACCTTTATAAAAGCCTTGGTGTCAACCATAGATAACATGACCTACTTTTAATCAACAGATCCATCCTCTCAGCTATACTACCCAGCTTTATCCCCACCATACCCCTGCATAGTAAATAGCTGATGAGCTTTGAGATGCAGGAGACATTACTTCTAGTATAGGAACATGTCCCATGAGCTAGGGCCTTAGAGAATACTTCAGGTTGTAAAGAGAACTCAGAAACAGTACAAGAATGAAACCAAAACAACCAGCCTTGAAGATTTAATTTATCTGCTGAAAATATCAAAGTTCTGAACATTTTTGGTAAGCCATAAAAAAACCAGAAAGGTCTGCTTTTGCCAAAAATCACCCTACCTTGAGACAGTGCATACTGTTTTCTATATGTTCACTTGAAATTTCTAGTAGTTAAAAAGGATATTAAACATTTTTGATACTATAGATAAGGATTCTGGGAAAGCCAGTGTTTGGCATTATTTTAAATTCTGGTACAGATGGGAAAAGAATTCTGACAGGAAATGGGAACGACGCCAAGTAGGAAACCAACAGCTTCGAATTACGAATGGGCAAATCCCAGGAGCACTGAACAACGTGGGGTCTCTATTAGCACACGACAGCTTCAGGAATAACCCTGGGCCTGGGTCCAGAAAACACAAGTCCATCAATGAGCTTACAGGTTACTCCAACACTGAGGGTGCTAAGTTACCTCCACCCAATGCTGATAGTGAGCACAATGGGCTGCCCACGACAAAAGGAGGGCAAATGCTTGAGAGGTGTTTTCATGGTGCCTTCCTGGAGCTGCTACTCGAAGCATGTTCAAGCACTGTGGCATTTTCTAAAAGGCCCCAGAATGCCAGCTTCCCCCAACTACTGAGTACTCCATGACCTTGGCATTACCCACTGACCGGTGAGCATGGTGATGAGGGGAAGGCTGTTGTCCTCAGGGCTGCCCCAGTAGCCAGCTTCTCCCAGCATGTTTCTGTCCAGCACCTGATGGTATAGTTCCTCAATCCAGGTCTGGGAGAAGACCATCAGCACGCCGCTGGTCTGCACCTGCTTTGTGAACTCTTTCTACAGAGAGGCCATGGAAGGGGACCAAATACACACTCTTGTGAATAAACAGCCTCCTACGCTGCTCCTCTTTCCCATCCCGACTGAACCAGAGCTTTTGATTGGGGGTAAGAATAAAAGGGGGGAAAAGCTGGGATGCAGCCCAAGCTCCACACGAGAGTTTCATTTGTGACATCATCTGACAAATAGATTGTGAAAGGACCAGGGTGACACATTTTACATTCTTGTTTTTGGTTGGTAGGAAGGTTATCACCTGCATGACTACCTTCTATAGTTTCTTCTTGCTGTCCCAATAGCAGCAGGGATAGAAGAATCTCTGGAAAGAGTATATGTACCCAAGGGAGACTTACACTGTCATCAAGTAACATTGGAAGGTTGTATTTCATTCCAGAAAGAAGCGATCATTGATTCCTTTCTGTGACCCATCAATTACAGCCCCAAATTCACATCAAGGAAGCGACTTGTTAAGCCAAGGAAGCCAACCACAGGATAGCCAACACCACCCTCTCTACACACCTAACAAAAGGCATTTTATTAAAGTACAAGTTATTACCATGTGAATTTCATATTCATCCTTTCCACCTTCCAAACCTGCCCAGACATGGGTGCTGCAGGGCAATGGGGCACAGAATACACTGGTCAGTTTCTCCCTAGATACCTGACACCTGGCTGCACAGTGCTAGCTGACATCAGTGCTTATCCAGGGGAGAACCATGCCAGAGCTCAGGCTCACCATCATGCCTGGTGCCACAGCTGGTCGCTTCCGGTAGTAGTCACCATGGGAGAGCTTCAGGTTGAGCAGTAGGGCACAGTGTGCTGCTGTGTACAAGCTATCTGCATTCATCAGCATCTGGTAGCTCAGGCTACTGCCTCCATCAAAGCCAGGAGAGTGAATCATGCCTATGGGAAGGAATGAAGGCATCAGTGGGGCTGCCACAGTATGCTAGAACTGGCATCTGGAGCATCTGGAGAGCCAGGATAGATTCCAGCAATAGAAACTCCACTGTGCAGCATACTTCTATAGAGTGCTGACTACCAGCCAGGATGCTCACAGAACCAGATGCATATACACCCTATCAGGAAGGGCATGCTCTGGAGCTGATTTTCTACAACTGGATCTCTAGCTGTTAATTAGCAGCAGTGGCTTGGGTAAAGCCCTTTGAGCTCTCTATAACTTTCTTATGCCTCAAATTTTCCACATGCTTTTCATGAAAACAGAAAAAAAAATACAATCGCATCCCCTCCTGTGTCTTGTTTTCAACTTGCTTGCTATTTCTTCCCACTTCTATCTATGCCTGCCTTGGGGCCTGTGTGTTATCTTTGCCGTTTCCTAGAATGGTCTCCACGACCTCTGATGGTTTACTCTTAAGTCAGTTTCTCAGCGACCTTGCCTTTCAATGCCATAGCTTCCTTCCAAGCTACACAAACTGCTTTCTCTCCCCATACTAATTGCTTTGATACTACTTATTATATTTAGCATTGTATTGATAGTTTGCATAGGTATAAGCATGTATGTGTGTGTAGACATGCAAGTGTGTGTGTAAGTGCTTGTGCACGTGCATGTGAAGTAGGGATTGAAGCCCGGGGTTTACACATGCCAGGCTGATGATGTTCTACCCATTAAGCCACATCTTTACCTCTTGGCTTTTTGATACAGGTCTCACTATGTTGCTCAAGATGGTGTCATACTTAATCCTCCTGCCTCAGCCTCCCAGGCACTGAGATTACAGATATCAGCCACTGTATCAACCTACACATTTTTTTATGTCTGCTCTTAGCATTCTAATGCAAGGTCTGGGAGAGGGTGTGGCTGTTCTGTTCATTTGAGACCTTCAGTGCCTAACTAAAATAGTATCTGCCACAGAGCAGGTCCTAAAAGTTGTTTGATGTAGGAGTGAAAATCCACATGGCTGTTATCAGAACCACTGTAGTCATTTATGTACAGCCCCCAAGGCAGCACTTAACACAGAACCATGAAACTATGGTACCAGGCATGGTGCCACATCCCTGCATCTCAGCGCTCGGGTGGGAGGGAGAGGAGGCCTAGGTCAGCTGGGGTTTTGTAGTGAATCTGTGGCAACCACAGGCTATATAAAGACCTTGTTTAAATAATAAAAATGAAAGTAAATATGTCCCTCAAAAAGTTAAACAGAAGCTGAGCATGGTGATGCATATCTTTAGCCCCAGCACTCCGAAGACAGAGGCAGGAGAATCTCTGAGAAATTCTTTCAAGGCCTGCATGCTCTACAAAGCAAGTTGCAGGCCAGGCAGGAATACACAGTGAGATACTATCTCAAACTAACAACCTAAAAAACAAAAACAAAGACCAAAAAGCTAAACAGAAAATGGCTGTAAGAGTTAGCTATTTTACTCTGCATCGTATGCCATGAAGAACTGGAAGCAGGGTTTGAACATGTGCTTGCCGATCAGTGTTCAACTGCAGGATTACTCACAATAGCCAAAAGGAGAAAACAACCACATGTCTAGCAAGAAACTAGTGGGTAATCAACTGTGGGGGACAAAAAATGGCTGATTATTTAGCGCCATAATGTTAAGATGAACCTTGAGAACATTCTGCCACATATAATAAGTGAGACGAAAATGATCAATATGTAGAATTTGCTGATGTGCACTGCCTAGATAAATAGGTTTACAGAGTTAGTGTATTAACTGGGGAGTGGAGAAGAAATCATGTCTAGTTAGGATGATGAAAAGTTCTAGAAATGGTGCTGAGGCTTGTATAGTACAATAAACATAATTTGTGCTACTAAATTGTACACTTAAGATGATTAAAATATTAGTTTTAGTGGTATATGTCTAGTTCTAGCAAAATTAAAAGAAATAATGACACAATATGTCAAAAACCATGTAAGGGGTGGAGAGAACCTGCTGCACACACTTGAGGATGATAGCTCAGGATCCTAGAACTCACTTAGAAAGCCAGGTGAGCATGGAGGTCTATGAATATCTCAGCATGAGAGAGGCAGAGACAGGGATTTGTGGAGCAAGCTGGCCAAACCAGCAAGCTCTAGGTTCAGGGAGAAGACCTGCTTCGGTATATAAGGTATAGTGTGTTCAAAAAAGACACTCCATATTAGCTTTAGGCCTTTGTACACATATGCATGAACACAGACACACATACATGCATCCACATATATACCAACATTCATATACCGTGTACACTTAAAGTGTACATGTTGAAGAGTAAACTATGGTAAATAAATTTGGGTCAATAAGCTAGTTATTTTATTTTAATGAGGAAAAAATATGCCAAACCCCCATAATTGTTATTGTCTTGTTCCCAAGTATTTTCCCTAAAACACTATATAAGATGATACTTCATACTGAGTAGAATATTCATTTGAATAGCCCTTTGGATGTTCTCAGGTTAACTGAGAGAGCCAGCAAACACATGCACGTTCCAATCTCAGTTCAGTCTGCCAGAGTGCTCGTGCTATGTCTGAGCTTTCAGAGGGCCTTTGGGTGACATCACACTATCTGAAACTTATACAAAGTTAATGGCATCCACTTCTGCAAACACTGGGAGACTAGGTTTCTGGATGTGTGGAAAACAGTTCATGCTAAATACACATGTGAAAATAGCACAGGCTCATGTACTCTTCAAATCATGTCTCAGAGAATATCTTCCTCGAAGATGCCCCTCGTCTGAAATATAAAAAATTTTCACAACAACTGAGAAATACAAATCTGCAACTGCAACATTTATTCCTAGCTGTGAAGTTTAATGTGCTAGTAAAAAGATAGGGACCCCCCAAAACTTTCAAGGTTGGAAAGACCCACAGTATCACCAGCTTATGTAGGTCTGAATGTCATCTAGGTAGATCCTCTTCAGGCCACCCACAACGAGGAACAGCCCATTTGCAGAGTACTGGCAAAACACTGCAGCCCTTCCAGACCACACAGAGAGCACTTCGTGATCATGCACACACAAGATCTATTATTTTATTCCCGCCATGTCCTCTCCAACTCCTCAATAACTTCTTCTTTAATTCCTATTGTTGCACACAGCACACACAGAGTCTAACAAGTCAATTTTTTCATTTTTTTAAAAAAAGTTAACATATGTGCATGTCTATATGTGTAAGGTGAATGTATGTATGTGTAAATACATATGTGTATGAATCTATGATTGTATGAATATGCATGTATATGTGTATGTTGTATGTGTGCTATCTGTTTGGCATATGTGTGTGTGGTGTCTATGTGGTATGGGGGGTATTTGTGTGGTGTGCGTGTGTGTGTATGTGTGTGTATGAGAGACAGAGAGAGAGAGAGAGGGAGGGAGAGAGAGAGAGAGAGAGAGAGAGAGAGAGAGAGAGAGAGAGAGAGAGAGAGAGATGGGGGGAGATATCTGGTGTCCTGTTCTATCTACTCTCTGCTGTATTCCTTAAGACACTGTCTCTCACAAACCCAGAGCTAGATCAGTAAGCCCCAGAGACCCTACTGTTTCCCTTTCTTCTCCCTTCCCTGAGGTTACAGGTGGCCACATGCAGCATTTTACATGCATGCTAAAGATTTAAACTCAGGTCCTCACTTCCCTCACTGTCTTCTCCCAGCCCATAGGGAGAAGTCAGGCTCAAGAGAGGGATCTGATAGTTGTGTTCTTGGTGAGGATGTGTACAAGGTTTCTCAGCTCTGATGCTTTATGGGAACCCTGAGCACTACAGAGGTGTCTGTGGGGTTGACTGTAATTCTCTGAAGGAGAGAGGGGCCCTAAAAATCCATTTCTTTCAACAGTGAAGCAGGGAACAGCATTCAGAGTTTGATATTTAACCAATAAAATGAAAATGTACATTCAAGTTTATGTAAAGGGAAAAAATCTGTACCTAGCCTGACCTTAGACATCAGCATTAGACAGTTGATTTACAACTACTTATTTGGTTGGGAATGTGTTCTGGAAAAGTGGGCACATACTCAGATGCTGAAAGCAAAAGAGGCCGTGGTTGACTCTGCTGACATGGAGAGCCAGGCCACCAGCAGAGGTGTAACAAAGACACTGCTGGTAGATCTGCTTGTGTGTGAAGTAATTTCTTGGACTTGTTAATAGTGTTTGCCAGCAGTGGCTTGTGATTTATGTGCAGGTTAATTTTTACAATTACAAACAAGCGACAAACGAGTATAAGACAAAATGAAGACTATTCTATATACTTCAAGAAAGGAGCCATTTTCCTGCTATACGAGATATATTCTCTGATGATATCAGTCAACAGCAACAACAACAAGAAAATCGCACTGTACCTCATAAAATACTGTCTATCATGTACAACCAACTTCTTCTCATACATTACTTTGTTTGATTCTGCCCAAACTTTTTTTAACAAGGAGAAGAAATTCCTTGAGACACTGATCAATTTGCCTAAAGATATACAGATAGAAACTGGCTTTCTGTACTATGCCTTGCTACTAATGTGAGCCGATTTTACTGCACCCAGACTCCCCGGGAGGCACTCCATGGAAGGTTCTATGCATTTTTTTCTGACTGGCTTTGTTGATATATTATCCATTTTGGATGATAAACCAAGGGAAGTATGACTACATATTCTAGCCACAGTGCTTATGTTTTCTAGGCTTTGATAACTATAGTCCATCTTGCCAGCTGTAATAAAGATGTTATTTAATTTACAGGAACAGGAAGATGGATCATCTGCTTGACTGGTTACAAAGTAAACGACTAGATATAAAATTATCACAAAAGAACTCAAAAGTCCCTCCTACGTTAAGATAATGTGACATTTCTCTTAAAAATCAGTATTAAATACTTGATGTGAAACTTTTAACAATATTATAGAGCACAGCAAACTTAGAACAATCAATCTTCTTCTAAGCCTCAGTGACACCCTTCTCAGCAATATTCTCTTTCTTATGTGCACGGTAAATAG